TAAATTGTGCCAACCTGACAACTTTTTATACCCAGCGTCACCGTCTTTTCAATCTCGACTACAGTGCGTGGAATCTCCGCGGGTAGTGTCATGTGAACAGGAGGCAGGTTGTATCAACTATCGTAGATCAACGTGCGGTGCACTAACGTTTCGCGTTGTGATCGATAACTATCCCCACAGCTTAGTGATTTTGATTTCTCAGCGCAATTTGTGTTAAAAAATTGTTTTAACATATCACGTCCGGATCCAAAATTGGACCATCTATTCTTCGCAACGTCTTCACAAGTGCTATCTATAAAAGTTAGACTTGCAACAGCTCGCAAACAGCTAAGTTTTAATGGCCTGTTTCATACAAATAAACGGTGCTTCGTACTTGTTATTCAAGGCAATAGCTGTTCGACTGATGCTGCTATATGTGCTGCGTCGTTATGACCAGCTAAGAGCGGTATGATGCATATCCAATCTTACATGTGGTGTATTGACGCTGTGATGGATATGGCTGATAATCACCACATTGTCAACTTTGGCGGGCATGCATAGACAGAGTATATGCATTAGAAGACATGCAATAGCGGGTCGACAGCAACAACAACAGCGACTGGTCAGTCAAGGCCACAACTGCTCGACATGATGATGTCATATGTGCTGCGTCTTCATATCAGGTAAGAGCGACATGATGCGAATACAAGTATCCTTCTGGTGTTTTGACGCTGCGATGGATAAAGAAGAAAATATTCACGTTGTCAGATGTTTTCTTGCCGGTACATTAAAAATTTACATTGTGCTTTGGTGTAACGGGGTTACACGTACCCTGGTAACAGGGGTGTGTGTCACACGAGATGGGCATGGTGTGACTGCACCCCAATAAGAATACAATACGTGGCTGGGTAGCCAGTAGTTATGCATGTATTTTGATTTTATTATATATATTTAGGAGAAACTATACATTTAAAATGAGGCGGTTTTGCCGCAGATAAAATAAATAAAGTCAGTTTTGAATTTAAACGGAAGAGTTAATTAATCTTGGGTTAAGGCAATGATTACTCTTGGAGTCAGCGGATTGCCATCCGCTACACTCGTACTTGTTCTAAGTATAAATCCAGTTCATTTTCGCGAATTCGTATCTGATACAAACCATTTTTCAGATCGATCCCACTGAGAACAGTTCTGCCAACCATTTTATCAAGGATCATATCCTTGCGTGGGCCCTGAGTCTGCGCTGGGACAGTCGTATCATGTAGCTTAATGAAAATATAAATAATGTGCAATCCACCAGCTGCCATATCTACACAGAAGGTGGAGCCGCAATGCGGAGACATGTACGCACGCACATGATTTCTATTGCTGCGTCGACTGCGATGACTTGATTTTTGGCATTGACTACTGCCGTGTAATACAACTTCTCGTAATAGGATGTTTGTCAATCTCATGAAAAACGCCTCTATCAAATGGCGATTTATACGACATCTTGTCTGGGAGTGGCAAGTTTGTCCACATGATTTAGTATGATAGCATCCCATGACTGCTCTTCAACCATATATTTTTGTGTCTTGTCATCCTAGACTTCCACATCATGCAATGCTGATAACTCTTTCGTCGAACTTCACAATCGCACAAACCTGCGCAATTATTGGTTATTTTAGACTGCGCTTCAATGTAGTCTTGCCCAGTTTTTGGCAAAGTTTTTTTTTTACTATTTTTAATTTTCACGTGAGAAATAACGTCAACATCACGTTATTTGTTGTAGGCCACAACATTTACAAACTCGCTCAAAGTCTCTTGTTCTTGACCAGTACCTTCATCAATAATGCTTGTGCAGGGGGACGCAAAATACTTGACGGAAGACTCGACAGGATGGCCTTCTTTTTCTTTTCTTGCCATGGGTTTGCCTCCAGCCTTCGTATTTTTTATACTAGTACCGCTTAAGCTTTCTATGCTGATGGCAATAGAGACAGTTTTTGGCACCTGACTGCTCCAACTCTCGTTGGTGTCGTTTCTTTAGTCTTTTTGGGCTTTTCCTGTGAGCATGGGGCCATCTCGCACCATACTGTCACTTTGGACATCTGCAAATTCTTCAGAAAATGCCTGCGCCCATACCATTTCCTTCGTCGTTTTGCAGCTCAAATTAGGGCTTCAAGACTTCTCAACAAGCACCTTTATATTTATCCAGTCAATGCTAGGCTGATGACGCTTCAACCATGGCATACCTAGGATGATATCAAATTTGTCTTCGAGGTCGAGAAGGATTAACTCGTTTTCACCTCATAAATTCCCAAACTTCACTACCAAGCGAGATACATGCTTTGACACTTTTATTGTAGATTTTTGCTAAAAGAACGATCATCCCGCTTTTATATTGAACAGCCTGATCACATTCCCACTCATGGCTTGAGTCTGAACAATGTTGTTCGACGCACCAGTCTTAAACAAAACTCTGTGAGATTTCTCAAAGTCGCATTTTGCCTGACACTACAAACACTATTCGTGGAAACTGTATGTACATTATGCACGTTTGGGCCAGCGTTCTGTGTATTCACTGCACCCCCAGTCTTTTTCTCGGGCCCAATTGGAAGTTTGGCCCTCATGGTCATTTCCGTTCTTTTACCCTTGGGAGCACTTGGGTATCATCCGTTGTAACGTCCACTGTTATCCGAACGAGCACTCTATATTTGTTGCCAACCCGGCAAAGACACGCTGTAGCTATCCCGTCTTCTCATAAAAAACATTCAAGGTTTGCAAGGACGGTCTTTTCTAGGCATTGTAATGTAAGATATGTTTGCTGGCTTTAGCAGTGGTCTGACGCGTTTGTCACGGTACGAAGCCAATGAACGTGGCTTGCTTTATGCTATACCCTTCTTTCATCGCATTGTTGATGGCTTCGTCCAGCGTCTACGGGTACTTACGGAGTAATCGATTTTGGATCAACCCAAAAGTCAAACCTGCCATGTAAGTGACAGTTTGCGCTGAAACGGCAACTAGCTCTTAAAATGCTCGATACCAAATAACGAGCACGCTGTGCATACGAGCGTAGGTCACAACGACCTTGATATAGACAACACGAAATCCACTTTTGGTGGACCAAACGTCTTCTTTAGCTCGATCTTGAAGTATTCTTGGCTGAAAAAAAAGCAGTTTAGATCGGCCAAACGCATACCGCACGACCAGCCCGTTCGCACAGAACTCACGATTGGACATCGCGAACAGCACTTGCTGCAAAGGATATCGCAGATATCTTGTAGTCACTGCTTTAACCAACTCAACAAACCCTAACAAGAGAGGCTCGTTCTCCCAATCAAGGTTGAAAGTCACGTTAATATTCAGAGACATCGTTTTGAAAGAATAACTAGGGGTTGTGACCTTCTCCAGAGTTCTATAATCTCATGATGCAGGAAACTGACGGCTGCGTTCTACAGATCATTCGGAAAAGTGGATTGCAGTAAGCAAACGAAAGCAGCTTCTCCGATAACTTCTCGCATCAGCTGAGTGCCATCAACTATTGTAAAGACAAACAAGGAAACATCTCATTCGTCAGCTCTTTCGTTTGCGAAACTGATGGACTGAGTGGTACTGCAACTCCTTCCATGTCTCTATGTTGCTTAGATGAGGACATAGGTATGGCTTAGACAGGAAAAAGTCGACGGACTTATCAGCCACGTCATCGGATCACATCAAGTATCGCTGGGAGGTGCTACCCTAACTTGCTCACAATAGCCCCTCAAACTCAACACACACTTGTGCGACCTGGAAGAAATACCTGGCGAGGAAGGAAAAGGGCAGTCCCAACTTGAACGGAAAGAGAAAGATATATCAGCAAATTTGCAACTGAACTCAAATGATTTGATGGGTCATTGCAACATGCGAAACCCCTCCCAAGTTGATTAAGAGATTGGACTGATTAAACCGTGTGTTCTTGTAAATCTGATTGCTACAATGAAGGCTGTACTGAAGCCGAACCTCAGCTCAAACTGAAACAAGATCTCGGATTTCCGATGCTCACGATCTCGGGTTTCCGATGCTCAAACTTCGAAAAGCTTAACGTTCAACTTTTATGCAAACTTTCCAGCAGAAGTAAATAGCGTTAGCTAGGCCCTTCTAAAGACAAAGACACATCGGTCTCGACACCACTATGAATACCCAGATAGGAGTCAACTGTCAGCATTACACAGATTGTCTGTGACGTCATAGAGAATGTCACATATACATACATATGAGGGCAACGTATTGTAAACGTTTTAATATAAATTCCCACAATCCATACAGAAGGATCATATTTGTACTTCATATAATGGCTAAGTGTAGCCAATTACGTATTATTATTGCTGTCGGTATAAAACGATGCGCCAACATGTCTAGACCCGCTACACAATATGTTTTATAAAAATTTAAGCGGTTTATGCATGTTCGCCTCGGTTGGCAGCGTGGTGATTGTCTTCTCTTATCCAAAGCAGTGTCAGTGCAACACAAGAATGCTTGTATTCGCATCTTCACTCTCACCTGGTCATGTACACGCAACACATATGACGACATCAGGTCGAACAGCCCTCGCCTTAGCTAACGAGTCGCTGTTGAAATTGCTGTCGATATAAAATGATGCATGGTCATGCATCCCTGGACTTCAAACGATAGTCTGGACCTCTTGACGACGCATCAGCCAAGATGTTCGTCTCAACTGGTTGGTAGCGCACAGCAAAGTTGTACATCGAAGATGGAAAACCATCAAACCATTCTCTGTGACAAATGAAGATTGTTTAGCGCCGTATACTGCTAGGCATGATTCGTATAGTTTGCAAAGCGACTTCTCTCCAAGCAATTATACACAGAGCTTGACCATTTCATACTTCATCGCTAGAGGCTCTCCGGCATGAACAGAATAATTCCGTTCCGCGGATCAAGTTGTCATGTCTGACACGAAGCAACTCAATCTCAACCCTTATCACTGTGTTGCGTTAAGCACAACCGGGTTTTGCCCTTGTATATGTTTGACTGCAGGGTGGCAATGTCTGATTTCTTCGGCGAAATATTCTGTCAGTGTTAATGCTCGCGACTTGCACTAAATAGTCTTTCTCTAAGAGAGTTCATTTTCGCTAGAAAAGCAAAAAATCAAATTTGTTAAAGGACTTTCCGCGCAGGAGATCAAATTATTGCAGGCTTCGACACTCAATTTTTTCACGGTCTGAGGAAGCAGACTATCTTGCGCTTCGAACACTCTCCATTTTCCCATTTTCCCAATTATCCTGCCCCAAATCTCATAGTCGTCCAGCCGGAAATTTCAACACCAAGCTATTTCCAACAAACTCCTGACTTCAATGTCCAGGGTCGGTTAGAGCGGAAGATTATTAGATTAAGTGCTATCGATGTCGAAGGAGAAAGTACGTGTAGCTTTGCAAATCATAGAGCAATCACATTATGCAAAGTACCCACGACTAGTTACGTTCTATCATCTTCAACTGCACTGCTATAATGCGATTCATGTCTCTGAAAGTATATATATGTAATGACCTACAGTGACGGACTTCATTGTCCATTTTACGATAATTTCGCGGTCTGGAATCGGGACCTGTTATCACAGACTCATTTTTCATATCGATAAATGCAATTGCATTTGAGCGAGGAGCTTTGATAGCATGCGAGGTGTCGAGTGTCTGTGATGCGTCAGCTTTACTCATCTCGGAGAGGTTGCAGCTTGTTCATTTTTTTTGGGGAGAGCCAAATGTATTGTTCTGTCATAGTACATCCAAGCAGCATCTATGTTTGAGAATTTGATGTCGCATCTTTGCAAAGCTATCGTCGTGTATACTTAACATATACTCCCTCTGTCTCAAAATAAAACCCGTGTTTGGAAAAATTTGCAAACATAACGAGATTTTTAACCGGAATCCTTTGGAGTCAATTTTGTAAGGCGCAAAACAATACTCCGTGAGTGCTCCCCAGTTTTTGTGCCCAACCAAAGTTTTTATTTTGAGATATCTACTCATGCCATTGAGGAACATCATGACAGTTCATCAGAGATCATTTCAGCCAGTCCAGCTGGCGAAAACCGAACAGAAAACGCTGATAACAACGATGTTTTTTTTCTGAGACAAAGATTAAGTGCGTTCACGGGTTTTATTTTGAGCCAGAGGTAGTATTTGCTATAGCCTTTTGACGTAAATCTTTTTTAAGTGGGATATCATGATTGGATAAAAAAGACACAGTAAAGTAACTCTAAAAGGTTAAATCTTAGTGTCAGTATCAAACAGTATGCATACCGGTTCGAGCTGCGCACTGAAAATAGTTAATCAAATACTCCAGCTGTATCGCTGATTGACTGTACACTTCCGAGGATAACTCACGCAAATCTTTCTACATTTTGCTAGAAGTACGACATAAATAGTTTGATACGATCTTAAGTTTGACTTATACTTTGTATAGGCAGGATCGGCACTCTACATTGACACTCATTCTTTGTTTGAGTGGCGAAAGCGCGACGATTGGGACGAAAGGGCTAGCGGCGATATTCTTTCAAGATCACAGTCTACGATAGAAGTGAACCTCTTTAGCGCTTTGTAAAGGAGTCAAGTATTCGTTTCTTACGAGTTCGCATTAAATTGACTTCTACAGGAGAACCAAGAAAACGAAACAAAAACAAGACAACATATATATAGCTCAAGCTATATCAATGACCAGCAGTGAAAGAGACAGGCTTACAAACACTCAAGGCAAATGCGGCGGCATATTGCGCTCCAAACTTGTTGCGGCTAGTCTAATGGGCGTCTGGGGTCTTGCATTACACCAAGTCTTATCAGTTCCTACAGCAGTCCAGTCGTGGACGCACAGCGATACGAATGCAACGACAGTAAATTGCTCAGCGCTATCGCCACCTCCTGATACTCCGTTCTGGACGGCAATGGACCGATGCAATGATTGCACCGCAGAGCCAACGTGTGGTTTCTGTCGGTCTACACTCACATGTGTGCCTGGTGACCTTCACGGACCATTTGCTAGGTACCAAATTTGGTGCAGTGATTGGATCATGGAGGCAGCGTCGTGCCCTGTGAACCCGCAGTGTAACACTATCACTGAGTGCGACAGTTGTGCTACATCACAAGAGTGCGTGTGGTGTGCCTCTGATGCATCGTGTATGGGAATAGAAGAAAGTTTTGGCTCTGGGTGCAAGACACTCGTTAGTGATGTGCCGTGTCCAGCAAGAGTTGTCCCAGGTTTGTATATCATCTAGTTGTGTTATTTTGATTTATCTGATTGCGCTACCTTGTTTACGAAGAGACAACTATTGTTGGTGATGTTGTTATACACCAAAAACCTCCGAACGTTCTGAACGGAGTCGTCGTCGTAGGTGTGACGAAAGAGTTAGCTAACTATTCTTTTGTCGTAAATCAGTCAACCGTTAACATCCAGTCAGGCGGCAGTATCCGGTTGCGCGGCGGCGATGACAATAGATTTAACATGGCTGGCGGTGATGTGAGTATTGCTGCTGGTGATGGCGTTCACCAGAACCGTGGACGTGGTGGCATTGTCTCAATATCAGGTGGTGATGGCCTTGGAATTGTAAATTATGATAACTCAGTCACTGGAGGGAGTGTTAAGGTATCCGGTGGGATGTCGAAGGTTGGGACTGGGGGTGATGTCGATGTGGTTGGTGGTGCTGGCGCGACTACTGGTGGATCTATTAATCTTGCTTCCGGCACGACTTCTACATCTATGAGTGGTAAGATTACGATCCGAACTTCTGATGTCACCAATAAGGGTGAATCTGGAAGAGTTGTTATAAAGACCGGAGAAGCGGTATATGGTGTGTCAGGGTCTATGGTACTTGCAACTGGAAACTCATCCTCGAACAGTGCAGGTTCAATTACGCTATCCAGCGGAAATTCTTTTGGCGGCAGGGGTGGTAACGTGATTTTATCCGGCGGCTCGTCCAGTGAAAATGCAGTTGGTGGGTCTGTAAGCTTAGAGACTGGTACATCGACTACCAAAGCTTCGGGAGGGGTGACCATTGTAACAGGAAATTCCAGGGTGAATGGGTCGAGCGGTGCTATCGTGATTGGGACAGGCACTTCTCTTTCTCGATCGACCGGTTCGTTGACTTTATTTTCTGGAAGCTCAAATGAGTCAAGCACCGGCTCAATTTATCTCGAAATTGGCACCGGAAAATCTGAGAGGGGCGGTGAGATTCTTGCAAAAGGTGGCTCGACAACCAAATTTGGAGGCACCGGAGGCGCGATTAATTTTAAAGCTGGGGACGGGGATCATGTCGGTGAGTCGTTGGGGGGTGTAATCACTATTAGCGGTGGTGCTTCAATAGGAACATCGAATACATCTGTCGGTGGTCACGTAATTGTTGAAGGTGGAATTTCAGCTGGCGGGACCGGTGGAGCTGTCATGATTCGGAGTGGACTCGGCCAAAATGGAACAAGTGGGTCTGTTGACTTCCAGACAGCAATAGGTGATCATGGAAGAAGCGGCAGCGTTCGCGTGTCGACAGGAGAATCCAGGGTGAACTCTGGACAAATCGAGATTTCTAGTGGTTTTTCGACGGAGGGCAACAGCGGCTCTATCCAGCTTACTGTTGGCAAGTCAGCAAACAGTGGCGGTGGTGAAATCTCGCTTGCTGGTGGCTCAAGTGAAATTGGCGTCGGTGGGGTAGTTCGTCTATCATCAGGAGTAAGCGATTCCGGGGTCAGTGGAAATATTGATGTGACGACGGGGACTAGCGTATTTGGAAGAGGTACAGGAAGTTTAAGTCTTACGAGTGGAAATGCTTCCAGCGGTCAATCTGGAGGTGTTACTGTCGAAACCGGGTATACGGTTCAGAGTCCTGCTGGAAATGTGCAGCTTCGAGCTGGATCCTCATCCCAAAGCAAACCTGGCAGTGTGGTTATTGCCAGTGGTAGCACAGCTGGTGATAATGCTGTGGGTGGCGATATTAAGCTCAATGGAGGGTCTGGTGAGTCCACAAGCGGCGGATCTGGGGGCGAGATTAGCATCGTGGGGGGTCGTGGATATGGACTAAATTCTCAATTCGAAGGTAAAGGAGGCCAAATCAAAGTCGTTGGAGGTCAATCAAGTGATGGTGATGGAGGAGAAATCTTACTCCAAGGTGGAGTTAGTAACTCATCTATTGGAGGAGCTGTTAAAGTTGTAAGCGGTCTCTCAAGTCTCAAATCATCAGGCACGGTTTACGTTGCGTCGGCAAATGCAGGTGCATTTGGTGATTCTGGGAACTTGGCCTTTTATACTGGAGAAACACTTCAAGGAAGTGGTGGCTCAATCACTCTTGGAACCGGCACGTCTGAGCATCAAGCTGGAAATGTCTCCCTTTTGGTTGGCACTAGTGGCAGTGACGATGGAGGGGACATTACTGTCAAGTCTGGCTCCTCAGAGGATGCCGCAACCACTGGCGGAGCTATTTTTTTGAGTGGGGGTTCTGGAAAAAGTGATAACGCAGGAGATGGGGGCGATGGTGGTCGGGTCGTTCTCGCTGGCGGCTCGTCACATGGATCTTCTGCGGAAGACATTGGTGGTGCGGTTTTTATTCAGGGTGGTGATGCTCAAAGTGGCATTGGTGGTCATATGAGGATGACGTCTGGCAGAAGTGCTGAATCTTGGAGCGGTGCTGTTGAAATTGCATCGGCGCAGGCTGTGACCGGAGGCATGAGTGGTACAATGTCTCTTGGTACTGGGAATAGTCCTGATGGCACCGCTGGATTTTTAAAAGTGTACACAGGAACAGCATCAAGAGGTACAAGTGGATCAATCCAAATTGCTGTTGGCGCAGGTGACGTAGCTGACGGCGGAGACGTCCATGTGAGTGCAGGTGAGTCATCAGGGATGGGGCACACTGGAGGCAAGGTGATACTCAATGGCGGCACTGGCTCAAGTACTAACGCTGTCGACGGAGGAGATGGTGGCGACATCGACATTATTGGTGGCGAAGCTCGTGGCTCAAGCTCACTCGATAATGGTGGAACTGTTTCCTTGATGGGTGGTCAAGGGTCCTTTGGGTATGGTGGTGACTTAATTATGCAGTCGGGGTCTGGCGTTGGAAGTTCCAGTGGGGCTGTATACCTTACTACGGCAAATGCTGGCTCTCGCGGTGTGAGTGGCATGATTGATTTTGCGACTGGAACTTCGTCGTATGGAAATTCCGGCCCAATAAGCCTCGCAACTGGTGCGGCCAAAGGTGGAAAAGGAGGTCAATTTCAGGTTCGTGTTGGCAGCGGTGACTTTGGCGAAGGAGGTCTGATCTCCATGGAAGCAGGTAGTACGACTGATAGTCGAACAGGAGGTTTTATATCACTTATTTCTGGTGCTAGTCAAGCAACTTCAAGCGGTGACATTGCTGTGAATACAGCCAATGCCGGGGCAGCCGGAGGTAGTGGAAGCGTAAAAATTGAAACCGGAATTGCTTCAGCTGCAGAGTCAGGTGCACTCGTACTATCGACTGGTTCTGCGACACTTGGTCACGGCGGCGACATCATTGCGATTGTTGGTACCGGATCGAAGAAAGATGGAGGGCAAGTGCAGCTTACTGCTGGTGCGACAACAGATGCGGGTAAAACGGGAGGATTAGTCGCCATACAAGGTGGTGAAGGAACTAATACCGCTTCCGGAAACGGAGGGAATGGTGGTGTCGTGAAAGTGATTGGTGGAGCTTCTCAAGGCGGTAGCACAGTACTAAATACTGGGGGAGGAATCGTTTTTGAGGGTGGTTTTGCAAGAAAAGGACGGGGTGGAAGTATACGTCTTGATACCGGCTTTAGTGCAACCTCTTCTAGCGGTGCAGTGTCTATTGCAACTGCTAATTCAGGATTAAAGGGATCTAGTGGCTCGGCAATTATCAGTACGGGTGACGCCACTGCAGGAGACAGCGGAGAGATCAGTTTGTATAGCGGCCAAGCTCTCCGAGGTAGAGGGGGCTTTATCTCGCTTTCTGTTGGCAACAACACTGAAAATCCAGGAGGAGATGTACGCATAAGCGCCGGACTGGCTCTCCATAAGTACACCGGGGGCTTAGTTACTCTTACCACAGGTGGTTCTGTACGATCAACATCTGGCGACTTTTTAGTCCAGACGCCAAACAGTGGCCCAGACGGTGGATCTGGATCATTATTGTTTAAAACTGGTAAAAGTCAGTCCACGGATAGCGGTGCAATAACATTCGTAACTGGTCTTGCCAAAAAGGGTCACGGAGGAAACGTGACTGTGGCCGTTGGTGTGGGAGATACAAGCAGTGGTGGTCACGTAAACATTTCTGCTGGAGACACGTCTGGTATGTGTTATTTGGCTACGATAATTGTAACATAAGTATTGTTAATCGTCGTATCTTGACGTGTATTCTGTTGTAGCGGTTGCAAAAGTAGGGGGTGTTATCTCGCTTCAAGCAGGATCTGGAACGAGCACAAACCCAACTAATGGAGGCAAGGGTGGTTCTGTCCGAATTCGCGGAGGCCGAGGATTTGGAGGTAAATTCGATAGTGACGTCGGAGGAATGGTTCGTGTTGATGGAGGATCGAGTAGAACCTCATTAGGTGGTAACATCGAGGTCTCTTCTGGTACTGGCACTGCTTCCAGCAGTGGTGATATGGAACTGATAACTGCGAACTCAGGGAGGAAAGGAGTGTCAGGAACTCTTCGTTTGCAAACTGGAAATGCAACCGCAGGCCCTAGTGGATCGCTCATCGTAGTGACTGGAAATTCTGGGCCTGGACCAGCTGGAGATATTGTCATCTCAGTAGGGTCAGGTGTATCGGGTAGTGGTGGACGAGTTGCAATCACTGCCGGCGACATGAGTGATATGAAATCGATCGGTGGCGCAATTGATATCATGGGTGGTCGTGGAAATAATCGCAACGCCTTATGGGGTGGAAAGGGAGGCCCAGTTAACGTTGTCGGTGGCTACGCTGGTGGCCAAAATGGCGGTGATATCGGTGAGGTCGTTGGCCGCGTAAAAATTTATGATGTCTTTTGATTAACGCGACTTGATATTTCTGTCAGGCGGAATGGCTACAATTCAAGGTGGCCGAGCTCACAAGGGGCGCGGTGGTGGTGTTAATATTGTTTCTGGTGTTTCAGAGTTCTTCTCAAGCGGAAATATAGAATTTCAAACGTCAGATTCGGGATTCTACGGTGTCAGTGGTTCGATATATACTTTTACCGGCAAGTCACAAACTGGTGACTCGGGTAGCTACTCTCTTCGAACTGGTGATTCTGAAAAAGGTAGCAGTGGTAATATCGACGTTACTGTCGGCAATAGTTTTGCTAAGACAGGCGGTGATCTACAGCTAAAAGCTGGCTCGACGTCTGCAGTTGGACATCATGGTGGGAATGTTGCTATTTCATCTGGTCACAGCACAAAGAGTGACAGTGGCAACGTCACCGTCGAAACTAATGATTCTGGAAATGCTGGAGGTAGTGGTTCAATCACCGTCTCATCCGGTGCTACAGTGCGAGGAGACTCGGGCTTGCTTTCACTTAATACCGGTGTTTCATTGGGTGGCCATGGTGGCAATATTCGCGTCGTGGTCGGGACAGGCCGCACTGGAAATGGAGGAGATATAATAGCGCGAGCCGGCAATACTACAGGTGCAGCTTCGGGAGGTGGAAATGTTCTGATTGGCGCAGGAAACGGATTGAGCTCAAATTTAAAGGACGGCGGAAATGGAGGCAATGTGGTCATATCGGGTGGTGATGCTAGTGGTAAAAACTATGCGAAAAACATAGGTGGATCTGTGGTTTTGATGGGTGGTAAAGGAGATGCTGCAACGGGTGGACCCGTGACTATTCTCACTGGTAATGCGACTTCTTCTTCAAGTGGCAATGTGAACATCTTCACAGGGGACTCTATTAAGAAAAGTTCTCAATCGTCTGGCGACATCACTATCACTAGTGGCGCCTCTACCAACCGAGCAAGTGGGGCAATATTCGTGCGTTCTGGCTCCGCAACAAAAGGGACGGGTGGCAACATTACTGTGCATGGTGGAGATAGCCATCAGAGCGTATCAAATGTAGTCGTTCAAGCAGGAGATACAACTGGTGCAAAGGGGGGATCCATAATCGCTGTTACAGGCGTCTCAGTTTCCGGATCGAGCGGTGATATTGAACTAAGCTCTGGTAGCAGCGGTAGTGTTGGTGGCAGTGGTGTCGTAAATTTGTACTCGGGATTTGCCCATGGTGGGTCCTCTGGCTCCATATCTTTAAGCTCGGGAGCATCAGAACGCGGAGCTGGTGGAGATATTCATCTCTCTGTCGGTTCAGGCGTTAATTACCAAGGAGGTAATGTAGACGTCATTGCTGGAGCAACCGCTCACGCTGACGGTGGTGGCAATATCGCAATTCAGACTGGCGAAAGTACCGCATCGTATAGTGGAAGCATGACTTTGACCACAGCGGATGCGGGAAAGGCAGGTTTCTCTGGCTCTGTAATCTTACAAACTGGAGATTCTACTAGCATGCCCGGTTCTGGAGAAATCTCACTAGCTACTGGTACTGCCGCTAATGGAGGAGGAGGCAATATTACAGTTGCAGTTGGTCTTGGCTCTTTAGGTGATGGTGGCTCGATCGAGCTAGTCGGAGGTGGCACTACTGCTGGTCGAGCTCAAGGAGGCAGCGTTAATCTTATTGGTGGTCATGGACGCTCGAGTGATAACAGAGGCGGAGGCAACGGCGGTAATGTTCAGATTGTTGCCGGGTCGGCTGACGGGCCTAACGAACTTAATCGAGGTGGTAACATCTCCATCACAGCTGGTGAGGCTGATATGGCTACGGGCGGAGCAATTTTAATTATTTCGGGCACGTCGTTAAGTGCAAATAGCGGCAATATCTTGATTGACACGGCTGCTGCTTCTCGTAAAACTGGCGCAATTGAAGTTCGCACCGGGACTTCCAGCCTTAGCGAGTCTGGCAGCCTTGACATTCAGACGGGTGGTGCCAATAGGGGGAGATCAGGATCGATAAGCATAATGGTTGGTAAAGGGGAAAATGCAGCTGGTGGGGATATTTCTATACTTGCTGGCTCAACGACATTATCGAAGGCCCCAGGTGGAAAGGTTACTATTGCAACCGGATACAGCTCAGAATCTTCTAGTGGTGGACTATCCTTAGAGACTCCAGATTCTGGAAAAGACGATGGATCTTCTGGTCAAATTAATCTGAAAACCGGCGACTCGGCAATCAGCTCTGCTGGATCAATCATTCTTAGCACTGGTCTAGGTGCTGATTCGAATGGAGTAGGTATAAAAATTGCCGCTGGAGAGGTAAGCGCTGGAAACGGTCAAAACATTGAAGTTACGGGCGGGAATGCGCTCCAGCCGAACGATGCTATCGCTGGTGGTATTACAATTGCTGGGGGTGTAGGTCTTGGAGACGATGAAAATGGTGGTGGTCGTGGCGGATTAGTAAAATTGCTGGGTGGGAAGTCGTATGGAGGTTCACCTGGTACTGATATTGGTGGATCTGTGACCCTGCAAGGTGGTGAATCAGTTGCAGCATCAGGTGGAAGTGTTCATATAATTAGTGGTATGAACGCAATCTCATCCAGCGGAAATGTACTATTTCAAACGCATGACGCCTCTGTTGATGGAAGCAGTGGAGTTGTTGAAATCAAAACCGGACAGGGTGCAATGAAGTCAGGGTCCATTGCTGTATCTTCGGGTAAGTCCCCAATTGGATCTACTGGAGACGTAATCGTCAGTTCTGGTGACACCACTTCCAGAATTTCTGGAACGATAAAAGTGTCGACAGGGAATACCAATACTGGTTCCCCAGGCTCAATTGTTTTAAGCACTGGCAACAGCAAAGCAGGATTGGGAGGAAATTTTCAAGTACAGCTTGGAACAAGCAGTGGCAATATCTCGCTAATTACTGGAAAATCTCCATCAGGAACGGGGGGCTCAATTCGTCTGATAACAGAAAGTGGCCCAGCGTCATCTGGGTCTGTTTTAATTTCGAGCGCTGACGCTGGTGCCGCTTCTACTGCTTCTACGGGGGCGGTATCCATTTCCACCGGAACCTCTCCCCACGGTACCTCTGGAACTGTGAACATTATGACAGGTGTATCAGAGTCTGGAGGAGGTAACATTGTGATGGCTGCTGGGACATCTATTAATGCGGAAAGCTCCATGCTGACGTCTTTTGAGGGGAGAAGTGATGCGCCTGGAGTTGGTGGCGATATAAGTCTGAGTGCAGGTGGGTCAGAAAGTGGAAGTGGGGGTGACGCTGCTTTGGCTGCTGGTGCTGGCGTTATGGGCGGAAGTCTTTTTCTTCATTCTGGAGCGGGAACGACCCTAAAAGGTGGCGTCGTTTCGATTATATCAGGAGCAAGTAGAAGCGCAGAAAGTGGTAATGTTCTTATTCAGTCTGCAGCCAGTACTAGTAAAAGCGGACCTGTTGAGATTGGATCAGGCCTTGCTCAAGCGTCGTCTAGCCCTGTCCGTCTTTTCACTGGGTCGACACTCAAAGGAATGGCAGGTTTCATTGATATAAGTGGAGGTAACGGGACAACGAGTAATGGAGGCGCGGTATATCTTACCGGCGGTGAAAATCCTTTTGCTCGTGGTGGTGCGGTCATCATGTCTTCTGGCTCCGGAGAAATTAGCGGTGAAGTGACCGTGCAATCTGGAAGACCTGTAGCAGATGGTGAGAGTGGTATGCTACGTCTTCAAACATCGGACAGTAGCGGATCGTCTGGTAGTATAAAGATCTCGTCCGGAAATTCTACTAGCAAGAACAGTGGTAGTGTTGAGCTGAGTGCTGGCACAGGCTCTACTGCAGGAGGCATCGTGTCTATAGTTGGTTCCAATAGTGCTCTGCTTGCAGGTGGGAATGTCGCAATCAGAAGTGGTTGGTCGACTGCTGATGACAGCTCTTCAAGAACCACTACTGGCGTGGGTGCTACCAGTGGTAGCTTGGCGGTCCAAACGGCCAGCTCTTTATCTAGCGGTTATGTAGTTATAGGCAGTGGAAACGCAACGACCGGAAATAGCGGAGATTTTACACTGCGAACTGGCTCAAGCTCAAGCGGCTCGACAGGGTCACTTTACATGAAAGTTGGAAAGAGCACATCTCGTAACGGAGGCAACCTAACTCTTGTATCAGGCAAGGGCACTCTTCATGGTGGAAATATTGAAATTACCAGTGGTACAGCTTCCACGAACGCTGGAACCGGAGGTGGGCTAATGCTTAAGGCTGGTGGTGGAAATGCAGTGCTGTCCGGAGAAAACGCTACTGCTTCTTATATGAGGGTGGCTGGTGATGGATCTATTACCGTGATGGCGGCCACTACTTCATCTATGGAACTCCGCGGTGGGAGCAATATGAACATCAGTGTTGGAAGTGGAGAACTCACTGTTTCTCATGGGGAATCCACTGTTCCTGGAGAAGTAATCTGGCGCTTGCAGCCAAAAAAGATGATCAGCCATATTCCAGCGCAGATGACCGAAGTAATCTACCCGTCAGATCGCCGAATTAAGACAAATATTGAAGACATAGACGAGGATGACATTCTTCAGCGTTTGCAAACTCTTGAAGTAAAAAAATATCGATACTCAGAAATGTGGCGTGGTATACGTGGAATCTCTGATGTTGCTGTTCGCGGTGTGATTGCCCAGCAAGTAGAGGAAACGTTTCCAGAATACGTGACTATTTCAAATTTTACACTTCCAGAAAAAAACTTCAGCCTTGAACAATTTCACGAAGTCAATAAACAGCAAATTACAATTGATCTGATCGCAGCTATACATGCCCAGCACAGACGCTTCAAAGTTGGGCCCAACAGCAAAGAGGAAAGTGGACGCATCGACATTGCTACGGCCGATGCAGGTTCGTATGCAGCTGCTTCCCCTCGCGGAAGTAGCGGTAGTATCAACATCGGAACTGGATCGTCCAGCTTAAGTAAAAGCGGGGATGTAGTTATTGCTAGTGGAGAGGCCCACGCTACATCGGGTGCAATCAACATTCGAGCCGGAGACAGTATGACTGGCAATGGTGGGGCTTTGACACTGGAGGCAGGATCTTCTCGAGGACGCCAGACAGCAGCAGGTAGTGTCATAATTGCGAGCGGAAAGAATTATGAAAATGCAGGTGACGTCAATTTGCGGACACCAGATGCAAGTGGAAATCAAAACAGTGGAAGCATCGTAGTCAGTACGGGTCGCTCTGCATCAGGAGAGAGCGGATCAATCTCTATCATGACCGGCGCAGCATTTGCATATAACGAAGGCCTTGTTAGTGTAAAATCAGCATCTACTCGCATATCCGGCAGTTTATTGGTAAACGGGGAACCCAACTCAAAGTCCGACATTGCTGCCAACGTTCAGCTGCATACAGCAAGTAGCAATCAGAAGTCTGGAGATATACTACTTTCCACAACGTCCGCTAGAAACATCCGTGAAGCTGGATCACTGACTTTTGAAACAGGTACTGGACTTGACAGAAGTGGGGACATCACAATTTGGTCTGGACGCAGTCTGGATAGCATTTCCACGAGCTCTCATGTCTCAGGAAATATTAATGTCCATGCCGAAGATTCTATGGGTCTCGGTGGTAACGTTGCGCTTGCTTCTGGTCGTGGCCAAATCAAATCAGGAGATGTGTTGATATCGTCACCAACAGCTCCTCAAGGAGCCGGTGGGTTGATTGCGATACATACAGATATGTCAAATTCTAGTGCTACCGGCACTATTATTATCGAATCAGGACAATCAATATCCGAGTCGTCTGGATCAATTCAAATTCGAAGTGGTTCTACCTCAACCACAATTGCAGGTGCGGTAAAAATTATAGCAGGAAATTCTTCAACTGATCAAGCTGGTTCCGTGGACGTAACTGGGGGCTCGTCGTCATTATATGGGTCTGGTGGAGCTGTTCGTATGTCTGGTGGCTCCTCTTCAAATGGTATTGGAGGCGACGTGACTATATCAAGTGGCAAATCTGGAAAGAGTGCGGCAGGCAGCAAAGTATTTGTTCGTAGCGGTTCTGGCGGTAGCCTCAGCTTCATTCAGGGTGATAGCAGCGTTGTTGGTGCTGACGTGGAGCTGATAGGAGGTAGTGTGTCTAGCGCAGATGCAGCACAGATATTAAAATTTATTGGCTCTTCAAATTCTCGCGGAACAGGGGGCAACGTATTAGCTGAAGGGGGGTCATCTGCGGTGGGTGTTGGGGGTGCGGTGTTGCTGACAAGTGGCTCCGGAGCCGTGAGTAGCGGTGACTTGCGTGTGTCCACGAGTGTCGCGTCTGGTGGCTCAAGCGGCAACATACAGGTGAGCACCAGCACAAGCAACAATTCTAGTGGGTCTATTCGAATCGGCACTGGATCCGGTGAAAGTATTGCTGGATCAATTTATGTGGCAGGTGGGTCTTCCGTGAACGGTGAAGGCTCCGCTGTGTCCGTGTGGGGTGGCTTATCGAAGTCACTTACGGGTGGCAGTGTAACGATCTTGAGTGGTGATGGACTGTCATCGAGGAGCGGATCGGTGATGCTCAGCTCTGAAGGCGGAGCAAGCACTACTGTTAGTGGCATGGTATCGGTGTCGAGTGGCTCCGCGGTCATCGGTTCATCTGGCGCTGTATCCATTGCATCTGGTACATCACCTGCACTGTCAAGCGGATCAATCAAGATATTTGGTGGCGAAGCTGCAAAGAGCGGTGGACTAGTAAGCGTATCTGGCGGTAAAAGCTCTGGCGGTGCAGGAGGCCTATTGACATTATCCGGAGGTCTTGGTGCGACAGGAGGTGACGTCGTGGTGTCTGCTGGCGAAAGCACGTCTGACGCTGGGGCCTCACTGCAGCTGCGCAGTGGAGAAAGTTCAAGCAGCAGTGGAGATGTACGTCTGCATAGTGCAGATGGTGCGATCTCAGGCGGCGTATTTATCTCGTCCGGCTCGGCGACAGGGAAAAAGACCCTCGCAGGAGATATTAATTTAACGGTGGGTCCGTCTGTGGCGGACGGTGGCAAAGTTGATGTGCGCGGTGGATCAAGCTCTGGATCGAGGGCAGGTGACGTGCTGTTGACGGGTGGATCATCTTTTCTGCCGACATTGCCTTCCACTAAAGCCGAGGCTGGCACCGTTCACTTAGCAGGTGGCAGGTCAAATGGTGAAAACCCAGGCGGCAAGGTAATTGTGTCAGGCGGCTCTGGTGCTGTGGTGGGTGGATCAGTGTTGGTAGTAAGCGGAGGCAGCGAGGGTGCATATGCTATCAGCGGTGATGTGGCGGCTGAATCGCGAAGCGGCGGTGGCAGCGGGTTCGTCAGTGTGACGAGTGGCAATTCGAACGCTGCCGCGTCTGGCAACGTGTTGATCAGGAGTGGAAACTCGAGCGACAGCACGTCAGGATCTGTCTCTGTGACTGGTGGCACTAGTGCAGTATCTACTGGAGGGAGTTTGTTTATTCGCGGTGGCAGCAGCGGTGGATTGTCTGTTGGCAGTTCTATGCTGCTTGAGAGTGGTGCAGCGAGAGCAAATAGCGGTAGAATTACGATTTCTAGCGCAGTTGCAACGACTTCGAGCTCGAGCGGTGACGTGACCATTGGCACAGGTGACGCAGACTTGGGTGCAACAGGGTCATTGTCAGTCGTATCTGGTATTAGCGCTAGTGGATCGAGTGGATCAGTTGTTGTGGCTAGCGGCAGTGCTGGCTCGTCTGATGCAGGTAGCGTTGAGATTCGTGGCGGGTTGACTGGTGGATCAAGCGCACATGGAGGCTCTGTGACCGTGTCATCAGGTGAGGACGGTGTGATTAGATTGTCGAGTGGTGAACGTCGCAGTGCTGATGGCGGCGCCGTCGATATTGTGGCTGGGGCTGGTATGACTGATAGTGTAGGTGGAGGTTCTGTGAGTGTTCGCGGAGGCACGTTAAACTCACCATTAGGTCTCGCAGGTAATGTTGCCTTATCCGGTGGTGCCGCCAATACTGGCTCAGCGATTGGAGGCAGCATTTCTATTGACGGCGGTGTGAGTAAGGCTGGCGTTGGAGGTGATGTGGTGATTTCGTCAGGCGTGGGCTTCCTTGGCAGCGGAGTTATAGATATCCTTAGTGGTGCTTCTACCAGTGGCGATGCCTTCGGCGGATCGGTGAAAATCAGTAGTGGTGCTTCCGTGGATACTGCGTCGGGTGCGGTGAAACTGTCATCCGGATTATCAAAAGCAGCCACCAGTGGAAATGTGTCGGTACAAAGTGGTGATGCTTTTTTAGCAGCCGGTCGTGTCTCTGTGCTGGGAGGGTCCAGCAGCATTTCAACGGGTGGTGTAGTGACTATGGCAAGTGGCTTGGGCAGAGACTCGAGCGGATTCGTGTCTGTTACGAGTGCAGCTGGTAGAGCAGGGTCGGTGTCTGGTGAAGTGTCAATCTCATCAGGCGACACGATCGATGGCGATTCTGGTGCCGTTCGAGTATCCGGCGGGTCAAGCAACACAGGGTCCGGTGGCTTAGTGAAGGTTGTGGGTGGTTCCAGTATGGCCGCGGCACCGGGAGGTGATCTTTCTCTGCGCAGTGGTGGGTCGCTGACGGGATCTTCTGGGTCAGTAAGCGTGAGCGCTGCTTCATCGTCATCAAGCGGGTCTGGTGGAGATGTTTATGTGTCTGGTGGATCTTCACTGAACGGTATTGGCGGTGATGTGCGCATTATAAGTGGAGGTTCTTACTCTGGAGCGCCGGGTAACTTGTTGCTTAAAACATCAAGTACAAGTAATGACGCGGTGTCTGGAAGCATTGTTGATGCTACCGGAAGTAGTTATGCAGGTGGATCCATACAGATAGTGTCTGGAGCTCGTAGAGGTTCTATCAACATTGGAAGTGATGGTAGTATCGCTTTAGCGAGTAATGAAGCTGATGTTTCCATCACTGGCGCAAACATGAATCAAACTTTTACTGAAGAGTCGCTTTTTAAAAGTTTGACTTCAAACACTGCTGATGGTATTGTTTTTCGAGTTCGTAACGATATGGTTGTTGGTACCGTCCCCGCACAATTTCCACAAGTGATTTCCCCCTCCGATCGCCGTATCAAAACTAATATTGAAGATGTCGATGAGGACGCTATTCTTCAGCGTTTACAAACACTGGAGATTAAACAATATCGGTATACGGAAGAGTGGAGACGTATTCGTGGTATAGAAGATGCAGTTGTACGAGGGGTGATTGCTCAGCAAGCCCACGAAACTTTCCCTGAGTACGTCAGCGTAAGCGACTTTTATCTTAACGAAAGTGACTTCAGCTTGATGAAGTTTCACCAAATCGACAAGCAGAAGGTGATCCTTGACCTTGTTGCCGCAATCCATGCACAACATCGTCGTTTTCGTGTTGGTGCCAATACACCTGAAAAAAGCGGTGACATTACTGTATCAAGTGCAGATTCTGGGGCTTTTGTAGCTAGCAGTGGTGTCGCAGCAACTGGCTCGGTGTCGATTGAGTCAGGTATTTCGCAATCAAACTCCTCTGGAAGCATCCGAATTTTTTCAGGTGATGCTCCTAGTGGTCAAGCTGGAAACATTGTAATCGGCGTGGGTGAGAGTGCTGACCACGGTGGTAGCATCTCACTCGAAGGAGGAATGGCCACCGGCTCGGCAAGTATAGGCGGATCTGTTACCCTTATCTCTGGTAGCAGTGTTGCTGGGAGTACTGGAAATATTAGCATGGGTACCAATAATGCTGGTCCAAATGGAGATACTGGGGGTTTGTTGATGGCCACTGGAAATACCGATCTAGGCTCGTCCGGAAAACTAGAGCTTATTTCCGGCAATTCAGCGAGGGGTAACAGCGGAAGCGTTCAGATTAGCGCAGGGTCTAGCTTATCAGGGAGTGGCGGAGGTGTAATGCTATCAGCTGGAGCTTCAAAAGCTACTTTATCTGGCGGAGCAGTAAATGTTTTGTCTGGCAATTCGACCAGTGGCTTTTCGGGTGATGTAAAAATTTCGTCAGCGTCGTCTTTGGGCAAGAAAGTGCGTGGAAGTGGTAAAGTGACGCTGACAACTGGTGACGCAGAGATAAGCGTCGGGCTGACATCAGTTTTGGGAGGGTACTCGCCGTCAGAAAATGGAGGTACTGTGCGTATTAGTGCTGGCAACAGTACGGAGGGCAATGGTGGTAAAGTGGATATCGTATCGGGAACGTCGGCTGCTAGCAATTCTGGTACGGTGAACGTGCACTCGACTGCAACAATGTCCACAGCTGGTGCTGTATCGGGTACGGTGTCGGTCACGACTGGAGACTCCAATGCGATAGCAGGGAACGTGAGTATTTCCGGGGGTTCGGGTAAAGCTAGTGGTGGCACACTGACAATGAATTCTGGATGGAGTGGATCGCTAGAAGGTAGCAGCGTAAATATTTCTGCTGGTGGCAGTTCAAGCAAAAATGGGGGAGATGCTGTAATATCTGGCGGATGGAGTAACAATCAGAACTCTGGTCGAGTAGATTTGCTGACACCGACTTCTCGAGCCTCTGGCGCAATTAGGTCTACCACTGGTGCTTCTAAGCAAAATAGTGGAGCAGTAGTGATAAGCACCGGCCCTTCAAACGATGAAAGCAGTGGTAACATTGAAATTTGGTCTGGACCAAGTGCTAAAGATGCTGGAAACTTGTCCATTTTTGGCGGAGGTAGTAAAACCGCTGTTGGGGGCAGGCTGAGCTTGACTTCGGGTACTTCTGAAGCAAAGGGTGGAACAAGTGGTAGTGTTGCTGTTGCTAGTGCTGAAGCGACGAGCAATATCATGTCAGGTGACGTAGCTCTTGTCACTGGCAATACAACCAAAGGTTTAAGCGGCTCGATTGTCATTGCAACTGGTGATTCATATGACGGAGGCACTGGTGATGTAGTGGTCAAATCTGGTTTAACCACAAGTGGAAGTCCTGGGCATGTTGCTCTTATGGGCGGGTCGTCTCAACAGCTTGCAGGGTCAACAATGACTGTGGCTGCTGGAAACGGATCCGTGGGTGGATCACTTGCACTTTTTTCCGGTTCAGGTATGCTCATGTCAGGAGCCATGATGATTCAGACTGGAAATAGTGGGACGTCGTCAGGCCCAATGACACTTTCAAGTGGTTCTGCTGAATTGGGATCTACGGGCGATGTAAATGTGTTTTCTGGTAGTTCATTGACTGGGCAAACTGGAAGCATCAAAGTGGCTGTTGGGTCATCAAACACTCGCGATGGTGGTTCCATCAGTCTTCTAAGCGGAAATGGGTCCTCTGTTGGTGGATCGGTCGTTATTCGCTCGGGTTATGCAAGTCAAGAAAAATCTGGAGACGTGAAAATCTTGACTGCATTGGCTGCCAAGGCGATGAATTCTGGTGCGATAAACTTCACAACAGGGTCTTCAAAATTTACCAGTGGGAATCTCGAAATGTCCACTGGATCGTCGATTAGCTCTCAAGCAGGTAATGTACTAATGTCTGTTGGTACCAGCAACGCCGCTTCGGGAGGAAACCTCACGCTTTTAGGTGGTTCAAATCGATTTGATGGGGGTGACATCACTTTTGCAGCTGGAAGAAGCTCGCAGACAGTAGGTGGTATGGTAAACATTGCGTCAGGTATTGGCGCCTTGGAAAGTGGATCTCTTTCGATTAGTTCGCCAAACTCTAGTGACACAGGCACCTCAGGATCTGTAAAGGTAACCAGTGGGGTATCAGCTTCAGGATCTAGCGGATCTGTAGTACTGAGTAGTGGGTTATCATCGAAAAAGGCTGGTGGCTCGATTTCTATGCTTGTTGGTGCTGGAACTGGAGGACCCGGTGGTGTAGTAAACATCACCAGTGGCAATAGTTACAGTGGTACAGGCGGCTCGGTATTTATACGCAGTGGGTTTGGTGCATTGACATCCAGTGGAATCGTGCAAATCGAAACCGCAGCCGCTTTCGTGGGTCAATCTGGAGCAGTTCAAATAGCTACTGGTGATTCAAGCATGGTAAATTCGGGAAAGATAGCTATAACTACTGGCAGCTCTAAGACGCAAAAAGGAGGGAACATCGAAATAGGCGTTGGAATCGCTGGGTCTGTTCGTGGTGGCGACGTGATAGCACTAGCAGGAAATAGCTCTGATGTAGGGGGATCATTTGTTGCTAGCGGTGGACTTGGATCTCGAAGTGGTGGCCAAATTTCACTCGTCTCCGGTGGAAGCAGCACTTCAAATTCTGGAAATGTCAAAATTTCGACCGCAACATCAGGACCAATTGGCCAGTCTGGAAATCTTTTTATTGCCACAGGTAAAAGTCGTGGTGGCAATAGCGGTGATGCATACATCCAGACTGGTGATGCAGCAGAAGGAAGTGGCGGATCCATTCAATTGCTCGGTGGTACCGGGGACTCGGGTGATGGCTCCAATATCACGATGATTGCTGGTGCCACTCAGGATCAGCATGCAGCTGGTGGAGCTATCTCCATTGCTAGCGGTTACAGTATATACGGCTCTAGTGGAAACGCTGTTCTTACAACACCGGATGCCGGGAAATTTGGAAAATCTGGAAACATCACTTTAATGACCGGCGGGACTTCTGCAGCACCAGTAGGAGATGTAGTAGTGAGCACTGGTAGTAGTGAAGGTGATAAAGGGGGGTCCATACTGTTAAGTGTTGGCCCGGGCAGCAAAGATGCTGGTGGGTCAATTTCGCTTCGGTCAGGCGATACGCATACCAGCACAGGAACAGCAGCTGCTACTGAGGGTGGATCGATATCGCTCAGTGGTGGTAGCGGTATGACGAGTGGCGGATTGATTTCTCTTCGAAGTGGTACAAGTCAAACATCGTCCAGCGGGGACATTTCGCTGACGACATCGGATGCTACGTTAAGAAGTGGAAGTTTGCTTCTTAAGACCGGCATTAGCCATGCCGGCGCTAGTGGGCTCATTTCTTTGACAACAGGTGCGTCGACAGGTGGACATGGCGGGTCGATCGATATGTCCGTGGGTGCTGGTGACATGCTGCCAGGAGGTAATTTAACGCTGACCGCTGGCGATACTTCAGCTTTGTCATCTGCATCGAGTGGTACAGGTGGTTCAGTGCGTCTTTTGAGTGGCCGCAGTGAGAAAAGCACAAGCGGATCAATTACGCTGAACACAGCAGCAGGTGGGACTGTGGGTCAGTCTGGATCTCTTAGTTTCGACACTGGGAGTGCGATCTCTGGATCTTCTGGTGATTTGCTGCTGAGCAGTGGTGCAAGCACAGGAGGTAGTGGTGGTTCTGTGCTAGTGACTGTGGGGGACAGCTTGGGCGGCGATGGTGGACATGTTGCCATTATCGCTGGTAGCGCTCTTTCTGATAGCAGTGCGGGAGGCAATGCCAATATTGCTGCTGGTACTTCCACGAGCAACAGTGGTGGTGGTACTGGTGGAATAATTGATATTTTGAGTGGATTTTCAGCAGGCACAAGTGGCAGCAGCGGCTCGGTGTACGTGCAATCCGCTTCAGGTGCCGCATCCGGGTCGGTGACTGTTACATCTGGTGAAAGTAGCTCAGGTGTGTCAGGAAATGTAACTATAGCCTCTGGAGCGAGTACTTTGGGATCAAATGGTCTTGTAAAAATAGCAAGCGGAAATAAAGATGGTGCTGAAAAAATCGGAGGACCAATTATAATTATTGGCGGTTCAGCACGTGAGGCATCCGGTCTGGGAGGTAAAGTCTCGATGTTTGGTGGCGTTGGTGGTAGTACGGGTACTGGTGGTGCTTTGGAGCTGAGCG